TTTTTTTAAATGAAGGTATCAGAAAGTGTGACCTCAAAATGTCTCTTTGACTTATAGATTATTTCAAGCTAAACGCAATTGAGAACCAGCAGAAGCAGGAAAAGCTCTTTACCTCTCCCAAGCAACCTAAAAATAGCATATAAGTTTCCCTGTTTGCAAAGGAAATTTCTTTTTAATACTAGTCTCAAAACATTCACTATTTTAAAATAAGAGTTTTACACAGTTTTACTGAAGTTGCATTCTAACATAATGAGAAAATAGGGTCATAGAGATGGAGAAAACTAGGTTAAAAGTCCACCAACTGGGGTTTCATAGCTCATCTACAATAGCACCTGTGAGAAATGCCAAGGGTCATAATTTCAAGTCCAACAGGAGACGGACAGTTCATAAAATTGTGGGATGATTGCTATGGTTTGAATATGTGCCCCTAAAATTTATATGTTCAAATTTGGTTGTGACTATATTAAGGGGATAGAAACTTTTCTCAGCTCTGAGATTAACAAGTGAAGCCCTTGGGAGGTGATTACGATTAGATAAAGTGATCATGATGATTGAATGCTGGTGGGTTGACAAAGAGAGGAAGTGACACCAGACAGAGGCTTATGACCTCATTCTTGCCATGTGATGCCCTGCTCCACGTTGACACTTTACAGGAATTTCCTACCAACACAAAGCCCTTACCAGATGCAGTCCCTTGACCTCTAACACAATGAGCAGAATAGACCATTATTCTCTATAAATTATCCAATTTGTGGTACTTAGTTATTAAGCAACAGAGAATGGCCTAAAACATTGGTTTGTACAGTCTTTCCAGATGGAAGACAAGAAGCACAGAACCACATATACTGTGGAGAGACCTAAATCTGCCTAGCAGAACTGGTTCTTCAACCACCATGCCAGACACATGCTGGCTGCATTTGGCTGTGGGCCAGACATCTAACTCCCAGAGTAGAAGCAGAGATCCAGAGTCAAAAAGTTGGAAACAACAATCACAGTGAATGTACCTGAATATGAAAAGTGCTATCAGGGAGGACCACGCTGTGGGCACTGGGAGAAGTGAACAAAAGCTACACTCTTACTGTGGACAAAGACCCACAGGAGACTGCGGGTCTCCTCTGAAAATGTACAGGTTGGGACCAGCAGTTAGCGTAATGGCTATGTCGCTGGACTTCCACATAGTCGACCACGGTTCGAGTCCCGGACCAGGTGGCTTAAACTCATGCCGGGCACGTGTGCGTGCGTGCCCAAGATCCCAAGAGGAGAATGGAGGAGAAGGAATTGAGGCGTGGCCATCCCCCCTGGGGGATGATTTCTCGCTTTCTGTTTCTCTGTCTCTCTCCTTCTGTCTGGAGAGCGCACACGCCCTATAGCAAAAACCTCTCAAAAAAATAAATAAATAAAAGCAAAAAAAAATAAAATAATAAAATTAAAAACACAGGGAAAAAAATGTACAGGTTCATCCTGACCAAGGTGCTGCTTTAACCCTGGAGGTAGGGTCTGAAGGAAGGGCCAATGGGAAAATCTCCATGTCTGCATTTCTCAGCCCCACAGCATGCAAAGCAGAAATGTCTATAGATAGGCTGAAGTGACAAAAGGAAACTCTGCAAGGAAAAGTTTCCTCCCATAACCTCAAATTTTCCAGAGTGAACTGGGTCCTGAGGGCCATTTAGTCCAACCTTGTAAGTTCACCTAGTTTGGAGAGGGACACCCAACTCTGGCAAGTCCACATGGCTTCCCTGACCTACATCTCTGATTTCTCGAATGACACCCCTCTCTTTTCAGTAATGTCACCCCCTATGCCATCACGTTCCTGCTGGAGCACCACCTTCCCATTTAGACCCCGTGAACACTGTCCAGGCTTTGGAACCTCAGGCATTTACTAACCTAGCTTCTCTCACTACTAGTGCCCACACACTACCTTTCTGTACTGGAGAAAATGACAAAGCAGGAGGATAAGGGCCCTGGAGATGACAAGGCATGCTGTGTCCAGGATCTCGGATTACACTAGGAGACCACTCCAATCCAGCTGCCTCTCCCACTGCCACCCACTGCCCCTCAGGAATGCATTCTAGCACACTCTGGAGGAGAGATCCAGCAGCGTGAGCATTAGCCAAGTGCGTGCACCTCCTTTAGTTCTGCTGAGTAATTGAGGATTTGTGCGATGTGAAGGTCATCCAAACCAAACCGAGATTTGAGGTCAGACTGGACTTGCTGTGGATTCCGCACTGTATTCTGCAGGGCTAGGTGGTATATTGACTCTGCAAAACAACAAGCAGTTTATACTGTCAGTTGTTTTCATCTTTTAAAGTGTCTAAAATAATTCAGAAACTAATGCCATTTTCATCTTTAAAGGAAAAGCAAATGAAGACCAAATTCCCATTGGGTTTCAGATAGGCAAAGTGCACATAAACTAACCCTTGATGTCGCAGAGAATCTGTGAGATGTCACAGACTCCCTGGCATAAATGATTGCAGTTTCTAGAGGGCAATGCCAAAACCTATTTCAAGAGCTTCATCAAACTTAAGTTCCTGAACATAATCATCTCACTTCTAAAAATCTCTCTCTAGAAACTAATCAGATATCTGAACAAAAGTTAAGGTACAACAGTGTTACTGCCTGGTTTTATACTGATTAAATATTGAAACCAGCTAAGTAGGTGGCATACAGAGGAAGGGATAAATTACAGTATATTTTCATTTTTTGGTTTTCAAAGTTTGTGCATTTATTTCCTGCATGTGTGAGAAAGATAGACAGGCACCCTCAACTGGGTCTTCACACCATGACCCCCCGCCAAGTCCTGCAGTTGGTCAGAATCACAGGCACCACATGCCCAGTGTGTGGAAGGAGACTGGAAATGCAAACCTGAAGACTTCCCACACAATCTCCAATGTCATACTTCAGTACCCCTACTGCCTGTGCTCATGGCTCTGTCCAATTACAATATACCCGTAGTATGAAATATCAATGCTATGGAATCTTGAAAACCATATATCTAAAAATTATTGGAAGTTATAGAAGGTTCCCTAACTAAGACAATTAAGGTATAAAATATATAAGCTGCCCAAAACCCCTATACACCATCTAGAAATGATACACCCAAAATTAGATCTGAAACTCTCAAGAAACTGACAAAATTTCTAAGTAGTATGGCCTGGCAACTAAATACATATATATATACACAAATTCCAAGGTGAACCTTTGTCTGAAAACTGAGCAACTAGAACATTTCATGTAATGATTCAGCGCCATTAATGCCTACAGAGGCCCAGCCACTGCAAAACCATTTTCATATGCATAACCTCATATTATCTTTATTAACACTGTAGACTCTAGAGAAAAGACACAATGGTGACATTAAAAAAAAAAAAAAGTCAAGTCAAAGGTGATCTCAGGAAGACATTGAAGATGCAGTGAATCACAGAAATCTAATGCTGCTTGCTTCCTGTCTGATTGTGTTTGCATAGCATCAGGGTGAGGAAAAACTGCTTTCTAAGATTAAAACCAGTATGTGTTAGTGTTGAAGAGGCATCAGGAGATGGGCTAATCATTTTCTATGTCCTGCAACAACATACGGATGCCTTTTTAGAGAGGAAGAAGCTGACATCTGAGTCATATAAAGTCAAACGTCAAGATTAAGCCACACTTTGAGATTCAAACTCAAGTGATCTGGTTTTCCAAACCTGAGTAGCAACTATTATATGAACCTCTACTGCTCTCAGAAAATGTGTTAGAATTATTTGGAGTTCAAGAAAAGAAAGAGGTAAAAAATAGTAACATCAATCAGTGAGCGAGCTATAAAATATAAAATTGTTCTGAAATAGTAAGACAACTTGCATTCTGTAATGCATTGCTAAACAACAGAGTATTCAGAATATAGGGATTAGCAATTACAATGAATAACAAGATTGTACCAGTAGCTCAGAGCCTCTGACATGGCTCATTTTTTCCCTTTCACACATTGTAATCTGTTTATCAGGCAAACAAATTTTTCTTGGAGACCAGAAACGAGCACAATTTTAGCTACCTCTGCAAGTATGCCTTGTAATAGTGTTCCTAGACACTGAATCACTGGGAAGCTGATAGAAAATTGCTTATTTTTTACATTCTTGGTGGTAATTACATTTCCAATTATAAGGTAAATCAATTGCAGTAATTTGGATGAGGTACAAAAACTTGAACTTCAAAATGAGTTTGTTAAAATTGAGGTCCCTGGGAAGATTTCAAAGAGGTGTTTCATGAGTCTCCCACCCACCCCCCACTCTGGGTTTGTTCTGAAACTAAGAAATTGTAGTTCCGGCTGAAACTAACCTAGCATGAAAATTGAGTTAAACTGACGTATAGTATTGAAGATTTTAAAAAATACATTTGGTAAAAATCTCTGATTGAACTGCTGATGTATTCAGTTAATTAATATCTTAATATTTTATTCAAAATACTAGCTTCCCTCTTACAAAGCATTCAAAGAAATTCTTCCTCTCTGGAGATCTCCCTGTGCTGAGTCATAAGCAACAGGAAGAACCAGAACCAACAGGTGGAATTTGGGGTGATGGAGAGTGTCACATGCATTGCTTCTAGAAGCAGGAAAAGCCTCCTTTTAGAAGGGATATTGCAATCTCTGTGTGTAAACACAGCTCAGGAGACTGAGACCTCGAGTAAGTGGCCAATGGAAGACGTGATCCTGGGCTTCTGATATCAGGCTCGCAAGTCTCCAGACCTCTCATGTCTGTTTTAGGAGTACCTCTCTGCCATGCAGATCTATTGGGTTGTCAGAAAAGTCATGATGCATTTTTGAATGGAAAAACACGTCATGACTTTTTTTATTTTTTTTTTATTTTTTTTGCTATAGGGCATGCGCGCTCACCAGAGAGAGAGATAGAAAGCAAGAAATCCCCCCCGGGGGGGGTGGCCACACTGCAATCCCTTCTCCATTCTCCTCTTGGGATCTTGGCATGCATGCATACGCGCCCAGCGTGAGTTTAAGCCACCGGGTCCAGGACTCAAACCACAGTCAGCTACATGGGAGTTCAGCGACATATCCATTACGCTAACTGCTGGTCCCAACATGTCATGACTTTTCCAACAACCTAATAATTCAACTCCTCCAAGGACTATTTGTGATCTGGCGTAGGATCCATTTCTGAGCCATTTCCTACCCCTACACTATATGTCATACACACTGAGTGTCACACACAGCATTCACTAAGCCCTGGTACTTCACACGCTGTTCCCTCTTCCTAGAAATGCTCTCTTGTCTCCTTTATAAATTCTAATTCATTCTTCAAAACTCTTGCAAGCTTTTCTTGAGGAAGATGCCCAAACTCTACCCTGTGGCCTTTGCTTTTTCTTTATTGACACATCTTTCTCCCTTACTAAATATGACTTCCCTGGGAGTGAGAATGTTTGTTATCCCCATTGTCTGGAAATAGTGTTCAGCTCATAGGAAGTGCTCAATAATTGTTAATATTGGGAATGGATAGATGGATGGATGGATGGATGGATGCATGAATGGACAAACAGAAGGACAGATGAATAGATGGGTGGATTAATTCTAACCTCACTCTTTTCTCAGTGTATTTCCCTTAGGAAACGGAGACAGAAAAGTAGAAATGAAGAGTAAGTTAATAGTAAGATATTCAGGTCTAGTCAGCAATTCAAGAAATAATACCTCATGTCAAGAAAAGAACTAGAGGGACCAGCAATTAGCGTAATGGCTATGTCGCTGAACTTCGATATAGTCGACCACGGTAAACTCATGCCGGGCGCATGTGCATGCATGCCCAAGATCCCGAGAGGAGAATGGAGGAGAAGGATTACGGTGTGACCATCCCCCCTAGGGGGGTGATTTCTCTCTTTCTGTCTCTCTGTCTTTCTGGTGAGCACAAATGCCCTGTAGCAAAAACCTCTCCCCCCCACAAAAAAAAAAAAGAAAGAAAAAGAAAAGAACTAGATAATTCCATTCCGTCCCCTGTGGAGAGGCTGCCTGTTCAGGTAGTGGGCAGAGTCCACATCAACCTGTCCTCCCTCAGTAGCATTATTCTTTTTCAAACCTTTCCCTCCTTATAGGAGCTCAGGGAGAGAAGAGATTACACAGGAGCTCAGGGAGAGGATAGATTACAGTCACAGAACCAGTGAGAGGTCTAAATGTAGATTTCAATTCAACAAATTTTAAAATCATTTATTTGTTCATTAAAAATACTTTTTAAGCAATGACTGCAGAATTTCAACTGTGCTAGAAAGTCAAAATACATTTTGAATTATAATTTTCATTCTACTATCTCTTCTTAACCAAAACAATCAATTATTTTCTTCACTTGATATCTTCATTTCACTGAACAGCAATTTAGTCTATGCTGATTGTCAATAAATATAAATAGTGCAACGTTTTGGAATATAGCAATAGTTCAAAGCTACCCACCAGTGACTGCAATTCCATGTTGCTGCAGAAATGTCAGCATCGAAATGGTTACATTCAGTACAATTGCAGAAACCTGGGAGAAAGTTCGATTTAGTTGCAGCCAGTCTAAATCTTCCAGGGATGTTAAGGAACTAGAAGCCAAACAAAACAAGCAGTATGAGCAGGAGTTGGCAAAACAAGTAGCATCAATTCCAGATTTATTTAAGTCCCATGGACTGGGCCACTAGATTTCTAAGATATGGCTGGACCATTTGCATTCTGTGTTTTCCATGGCTTTAATGGGGCCCTCACGCTCTGGACTGAAGACTAAACAGAAGAGGTAAGACTTTCCCTTGAAATGCTTGAGAACTCTGGCCACCTTCCAGCCTAACTTTGATACAGACTTGAGTTTGGTTTGGCTCTACTGCACGTGTTCTTACAAATTCCAGCCCCAGTGGCTTGAAAAACATCAGGCAAGTGTGCATACATGCCAAAAATCCCAACAGGATGGGAAATTGGAGGTAAAGAGATTGGCGCATGACCACACTTTTTTGGGGGGGTATGTTCTCCATCTACTTCTCTCACTCTTTCTCTCTCTAGTGAGTGCATGTGCCCTCTGGCAGTTAAAAACAAAATCACTGGGGACCAGCAGTTAGCATAATGGCTATGTCACTGGACTCCCACGTAGTCAACCGCGGTTTGAGTCCCAGACCCGGTGGCTTAAACTCATGATTTCTATCTCTCTGTCTCTCTCTATCTCTCTGGTGAGCGCATGCGCCCTATAGCAAAAAACCCTCTCAAAAATAAATAAATAAAAAATAAATAAATAAATAAATAAATCACTGTTCCAATTCAAAATATGTAAGGCAGATGAGGGACAGAAGGAGAGATACAAGAGTTCCAGTCATTTCAAGGTGATATTACTGTAGGTTGTTTTTATCCAACAACTACTTAGTAATTGTTATTTCCCATTTTAAAAATTAGGAGGAAAAAAAATGAGAGACCTACACTTGGTTATCGTTTCCACTTTCACTTACTTCAGAACTGCCTGGAGAAAGTGTTCTCCCAAACGCACACCCTCTTCCATGCAGACACTGTTTGCATGCAGTCTCGGAAGGAAAAGCAGAAAATCCCAGACATGAGGCTGCTGGTGGAGGCTTTCCAACTTCAGTATCACGTCTTCTGTTTTATTGAGATCCATCTGAAAGGAAAAAACATACCACAAGTGTTGCTCTTAGTTGTATTAATCTGTTAAAATAGAGAAGGATGGGACGTTGCTAAAGGAATGCAGACCTACTGCTGCAGGGGATGTTCCTTCACACAGCACTATGTTCCTTTATTTTAGGAAAGCTTGCTTGGGGCCAGCAGGCAGTATGGTGGTTAAGGCACTAGACCTCACAGGGCCGACTGTGGTTTGAGTCCCAGGCCCAATGGCCTGAAAGTCATGCTGGGGCATGTGCATGCGTGCCCCGAATCCCAAGAGGATAATGAACTGCAGCACAGCCTCACCCCTGGGGGGCGATTTCTCACTTTGCCTCAGTCTCTCTAAAAAATACATGTGCCCCATGGCAAAAACATTTTAAAAAAGAAAAAAGGCAGTCTCACTTTGTTGTCATCCTCCTGCTTCAGCCTCCTGAGTATCTGAGACCACGAGGAGCATGATACAATCTCTGGCTTTTAGGGTGGGCTGGGAATTGAACCCAGACCTCCTGTGTGGCCTCAGCCTGCAGAGAAGCGTTGTAAACCAGGACATGCTCCTGTAAGTGGGCAATGATCTATTCTTTACAGGTAAATAATAATGAATAATAATAAATTAAATGATAACTTACCATAATTTAAATATGATTGAGATTGAAATGCCTCTTGTTATTTCAGAGTTTTCTATTATTGCTGAACCCAGTCACAACTGCTACACAATGTAAATAACTTAATACTATACTTTTTCCACACAAAAAATACACCACATTGGGGCAGCAGGTGGCATGACGGTTAAAGTGCTGGACTACTACATGACTGACCACAGTTTGGGTCTTGGACTCAGCGGCTTGCTTTCTCACTTTCTCTCTCTCGCTCTGATCAAACTAAACAATAATTAATTAATTAGTTAGTTAATAATTGAATTGTGGAGTTGTCCTATGAGGGGGGGATACACCACTTCTGTCCACCCCCACTATCACCACCATTTCATACAGCTGGTTTCAGTCGTAAAATTAACACAATCTTAGGATGAAGGAAAGTAGTGGAAACCTATAGCTAAATGGATATTTTGGTAACATTGTCATGGAATAAGACACTACAGATCTGATTTTATTTTCTGAGTATTGGGTTTAAAAAAAAAAATGAGACCCAAGAGGAAAAGTGAAGTATTTATATGAATAGGTAGAAAATAGAAGTTTCTTCTTCATGTGAATGTGTAGGAAAAATGGTAACAAAATCAATTTTAATTAAGGGATAAAGTAACTCCTTTTAATAATTAGCTACGTAAGTGCGGTAGAAAAGGGTTCTACACCAAGGCAACACCAAAGTAAAATGGAAAGGGGCTCAATGGAAAATGGAAAGAAAACTATGTTTGACTAGCACCTAGGACTTGGTCAGAAGGACCCATTTTCACTCAGCACATACTGTGGAACTTTCAGCTTTATTTAGATACCTGAAAGATGGTAAGGAAAAAAAGAAAAAATAAAAACAGAGAATGTGGGTCTTTGGTGCCTCCCTGAGTTACCACTACACTTCTGGGTAGCACAACACCTAGACACTCCATGTCCATCAAGAGTACCCAGCACTGTGTCCCAAGCTTGGCAGTGGCTCCCTCTCCTCTCTCAACCCAGTTCCATTCCCTCAGTATAACTGAGTTCAGTTTTCTGTGTATTACAAATAAGTTATACCATTTATCCTGCAATTGAGATACAGTTAAAAAGAAAATGTTCTCCAGAGCTTCAGCTACTCCGTAAGACACGTTTCCTCCACCTCCGTGACAACTATGGCAGAAATGAAGAGGGGACCAGGAATTTTGCAAGGTCCTGGATATTCCCCACTCTACCTTCCCTGGGCTTCCACAGCATCTGCCTCCTCACCTTCCTTCTCCTGGTCTGAAGCTTTCTCAAGTGTGAGTGCTTAGGGTTCAACTCTCTTTCTCTTTTCTATCCATACTCTCTCCCTAGATGAACACTAAGTGCTACATATATACCCACACCTTCCAAATGTACATGTCCAGTCAAGACTGTTTACCCTAACTCCAACTGTTTACTCTGCCCACAGCCTCCTCAACAGTGCCCTTGGATATCTTGTTAACATGCTCAGAATTGACCCTCTGATTTCCTCTTTACACTTTCTCTCCTTCTCAAGGAATACTTATTTCGATCTGTTCCCATCTCCATGAATGGCCTGGCCATACTGCCACTTGCCAAGGTCAAACCACTGAGAGTCATCCTTGACTCCTATCTAGCTCTCCTAATCTACATCACATTTCTTAAGAGATTATGCTGGTTCTACCTTCAAAATAGACCAAGAATTCTACCCTGTCTCCATACCGCTACCCCTCCACTACTTACTGGTCTAAACTACCACCATTGATGCAAGATGCGTGAGGTGATTTCCTAGCAGGACTCTGGCCACTATCTATGCTCAACACAACATCCCAAAAGATCCTCTGAAAACGTAATGCAAGTCTCAACATTCCTCTACTCCAAATGAAAGTAAAACAGCTTAACATCACTATCAGAATGCTATAATAGAAGAGTTACTTGGAATTCTTTCATTACAACGCATAGAACTGCCTCCTTGTGACCACACTTCTTCAGCTCATCATACAAGTACATAAATGTTCTACATTGTATTCATACAAAGGATATATTGTCCTCTGTTCTTTACATTTGACATGTCAACATAATAATTTTCCACGTACCGCATTTATTAGGTAACTTTACTAAGTAGTCTGGCAACATTTACTTATCCTATCTTTGAATATTAAAATGATTCATCATTATAAATGAACATCTTTATGTATATAATTTTATTTCTTTTACATTATAAGTAAGATAAAAAGTGTAAGAGCAATGACTAGGACAAAAGATATCGAGTTGCTTTTTCTTTTCTTTCTCTTTTTATTTTTTATTTTATTGTTGCTAGAGAGATTTTTGCTATAGGGCATGTGAAACAGAGAGAGATACACAGAAAGCAAGAAATCACCCCCCAGCAGGGATGGCCACGCCACAGTCCCTTCTCCTCCACTCTCTTCTCTAGATCTTGGGCACGTGTACACATGCACCTCATGTGAGTTTAAAGCCAACAGGTCAGGGACTTGAACTCCAGTTCACTATATGGGAGTCTAGCAGTAATTATTATACCATCTGCTTATCCCTCAAGTTGCTTTTTCGAAAAAATCATACTGATTTTGTTATTGCTATACACCATATACAATTGTAGCAGTGGGCTTCAACATCACAAACATTGGGAATCATAATTTCTTTGAACAATGCTCATTTAACCACTGAAAATAGTAAATTGGAGTGTTATCATATTTTTAGATTCTTCAGTTATTTGCAGAACTCTGAATATGTATGACTCACAGTATTTTTCATTTAACCTGGTAAACTCAAAACTAGGACGGATGTTCATTCTACTTTGCTAGTGTAATTATTTACTAGATACCCTGACCTTCCTGCTCCATTCTGATTCATTAATCAAGCTGTATCCTTTTACTTTTCTGCTAATGGTTTTACTACATATCCATTTTTTAAACTGTCATCAAACTCTACTTAGAATCAAGTAGGTATAGTTAGCACAATGTTGCTGAAAATTCCAGTACAGTCAGGGTTCATTCCTGAACTCAGGTCTTCTCAACCTCAGCACTACTGACATGCTGGCCAGATCATACCTTGAGGTGGGGATGGTCCTGAGCAGCAGAGGTATTTAGCAGCAACTCTGGCCTCCTCTCACTAGAGGTCAACTGTAGCCTCCTCACCCACAGCCAAAACTGTGTCCAGACATTGACAAATAGTCCTGAGCCCAGTGGGGAGGGCAAAATCTCCACCACTGCGGTGCAGTTAAATACTTTGTGCTGGGGACCAGCAGATGGTGTAATAGTTAATTCGCCGGACTCTCATATAGTCAACCGTGGTTTGAGTCCTGAACTCGGCAGTTTAAAAAAGAACTCAGGCTGGATGCATGTGCATGCATGCCCAAAATTCCAAGGGGAAAATGGCTAAGGAAGGATTGCAGCATGGCCATCCCCCCCAGAGAGTGATTTCTCACTGTGTATCTCTTTGTCTCTCTCTGGCGAACTCACACGCCCTACAGCAAAAAATATCTCTAAAAAAAATTACAGAAAAAAAAACTTTGTGCTGAAGGTGAGTCAAAGATTATCTGCCACACACAAATCTGAGGTCCAACTTGAGCTCAGACAGGATTGAAGTCATTTTACAAAGCACCTGTGTGGGTAACCCTTCACTGCTAGCTTCAACTTTCATTGTTTTTCATAGACTCAGAACCTTGCTAAGAAAATTAAAACATGCCTTTCAATCCATCCCTTATATGAATTTGGCTCTCTCTGAAGAGTAGTACTAATTCAAATTTCAAAGTCAGCTTCTATACAATAGTTACTAAAAATCAAATCATTAGGTGTCAGCAGGTGGTGTGATAAGACACTGGACTCCCACATGGCCAACCATGGTTCAAGTCCTGGACCTGGCAGCTTCCTTTCTCAAATCCTCTCTCTCTGTGTATCCCTTTCTTGAGAGTGTGCATTCCGTGTAGCAAATTTTTAAATAATAATAATAAATAAATAAGATTAAATAATTACTTTTTAAAAAATCATATTATTAGAAAGAGTTTGAAAATATTAAATTAAATTTGAAAACAGGGCCCAGCCCATGGTGCAGCAGTAAAACACAATGTTCTGTGAGGCTGACCCACATGGGAAGGTTCCCAGTTCATGTCCAGAGACCTCTGAGTATGCTGGCCACATGCATGCCCACAATCCAGGGCTGACTGAGGCTGGGACTGGATCTTGGTGTCAAGACACTCTTAGCGGTATTGTTTCTCTGACTGTCTTTCTTGTTCATGAAGAAAATAAACTTCAAAAAATGTAGAAACTTTGACCATACTTACTGTCAAAAAACTGGAACCATAAGACGAATCTGCAATAAAGATTTGAAATATGTAATATTAGAGATGTATATTATCTTTAAATTGTTCATTTAAAAATCAATCATCAATCTAAAAGCAAGTGCTAAGGTCCTGCCTTAGTTCTAGCATCAAATGGGGTGTCAAAGAGCCCCAGCCCAAAAGACAAATACACTTATACTGAAGCACAAATCTGAAGAAAACTGTCACTGCCAATTTTAAGTCACATTGATATTAAGTAAATTCTTGGAAGAAATTGAACTGCTAAATTGAATTTCAATAATTTGCCAAAGGATACCTATTATTTTATCAGTGTCTAATTCTACCAGGAATGATGAGCATCCAGGTTAGAATAGAGAGAGTAAGTAAGTAAGTAAATAAATAAATAAATGATAAACAAAGACAGCAAAGGGAAGAAAAGCGTAACTATGATGTTTAAGATTATTTTTCAATTATATATACCATGAGAAATGGCTCATATAATAGCAAATGAGAAATAAAGTGAGACTACTACTGAAAAGACTTTTCTTCTTTCAATGTGAAATCCTCATTTGAAATTGAGGTTTTATAAAAGCAGAATGGAGCCTACTATAAAAGCTCTGAGGCTGGCCAGCTCCACCATGTAACACAATGCTCTGCAATGCTGAGACCCCATGGAAAGGTCCCTGGCCCATGTCCCAAGGTCTCACTGTGCATGCTGGGTGCACATGTACGTGTGATCCTGACAGGCTGCAACTGGGAGTGGATTGCGGCACAAAGACCCCATTGCAGATGTACCTCTTTTTCTCTCCCTTTCTGTCCCACTCTGTGTTTTGAACTCCTTTTCTAATGGAAAAAGAAAGAGAGAGAGAGAGAGAGAGAGAGAGAAAGAGAAAGAAAGAAAGAAAGAAAGAAAGAAAGAAAGAAAGAAAGAAAGAAAGAAAGGAGAAAGGAAGGAAGGAAGGAAGGAAAGAAATTTTTTTTTTAATTATAGCATTTGATGTTTAAGGCATTCTGTCTGGTCTTTCTATTGATACATTTAGGTCCCTTGTGGAATCAGTCTTCTGAGAAGCCATAGCCTTCCCTGCCCTGTTCTGAACACAGGTGTAATTTTCTCTTTAGAAATAGAGTAGATGCCCTTATCAGTGGTGTTATGTTCCAAGACCCCTAGTGGACACCTGAAGCTAAGGATAGTATCAACTCCTCTACACGCTTGGTTCTTCCCCATGATGAAGTCTAACATATGAAGTAGGCACAATGAGAGATTAACAATAATGGCCAACGATAAAATAGAACAATTATAACAGTAGACTGTAAGTTATAGTCTCCTCTCTCTCTCAAGATGTCTTCTACTGCACTCACCCTTCTTGTGATGTGCGATGGTGAAATGACTACATGAGGAGATGAAGTCAGGTGAGTGATGGAGGTGTTTAATGAAACGCTTAAAATTTATGAAGTATGGAGCCAGCAGGTACAGTGGTGGCTAAGGTGCTGGATTCCCACACAGCTAACTATAGTTCAAGTCGCAGACCCATTGGCTTGAAAATTACAACCAATAAATAGATAAATAAATAAATAAATGTTTAAAAAAATGTATGAACTGTTTATTTCTGGAATTTTCCAGTTAACATTTTTAGATGCCAGTTGATCAGGGTGACTAAGATCACTCAAAGTAAATCTGTGGACTGGGGAACCACTGTAACACAGGAAGCACTTCCTCTAAAAAACTCATTCTGTCAAACCTTCACTCTGTTTTCTTGTATAGACTCCATGAACAATTTATATAAAAAGAAATATACATATATATATATATATATACACACACACATATGTATATATACATATATACACATATATATATACACACATATATATATAAATTATATATATATATAATTTATACTGGGTACTTAGGAAGGCAGGATTTGCCAAATGAAAATGAAGGCCATCCCATTAAATTTAAGTTTCATTTTAAAAAGGAATAGTTGCTTACTCTAAATATGTAATATTAGAGATGTACATTATTTTTAAATTGTTCATTTAAAATTCAAATTTAACTGAATGTCCAGTGTTTTATCTGGCAATCATAGCTGATGTAGGATTTTTTTTTTTTCCAAAAAGGACAGGATCACTCTTTATTAATGAAGACTGCCTCTGGCCACTAGCTGCCCCTCGCAGAGATACAGGCTGGTCCGTTTGTAAGATGAACCTCAAAGGGGTTCATTCTAGCTTCCGCTGTAACAGAGTTATAAATAAGACTGAAGCCTCTCATAATGTAGATCTTTCCATAAAGAGCAGAAATTACTTTTGTTTAGGGGATAATCTGCTTCAGTAATGCAAAAGGTTTGTAATCAAAGCACGCCGATTGTTCAAAACCAGAATTAAAATGTCACTGATAGGAAAAGGCCAATCCAAGTGTACAAAAAGAAGGAAGTCTTCAGGAGTGTGTGTGTGTGTGTGTGTGTGTGTGTGTGTGTACTGTTCAGTGAAGGAAGGGAACAAATTTTAAAAATAGAGGACAATAAAGTGAGAAAGGAAGACTGCAATATAAAAAAAGAGAAAGACGAAGCATGGAGAGGAAGAGGCTATGGCCTCAGTGAAGCTCCTGTAGCTCGTGCATTGCACAAAGTATTTCCCGGGCAGGAGGAGGGAATCCAGCCCCACCCTTTCCAACTGGCCGCAGGTGCTGGCCTCATCCATCAGAAGGGGAACCTTTTTCTAAAACCCACAAGGAGAGACTAGTACAGGAAAGATTTAAAGATTTTAAACCATTCTGAAGTCTCATAGCCTCCAGAGACTTACCTTAAACTTTATCATAGTCAGAGATTTACTTGCCTGGAGTCTTGGATCTTTCCACCCAAAGTTTTTGTAAGTTTTTTGCCTTGGCCATAGTCCCATAAATTTCCTCAGCCAGGTCCTGTATCTCCTTTAAAAAGGCCAGGTTGTTGACTTTCTTGTGGTCAGCTGCAGTTTGGAACCTAGACAAGCTTGAAATAAAGGATAAATGCACGTTGAACACTCAATAGCAATTGTTTTCCATGAAACTTGCAGTTACTGTTACAGTCACGCTGTTATCTACAGCGCATAACCATTCCCACCTGCTATCATTGCAGCCCGTTTTAGCCAAACTTGAACCAAAATAGAAATTATCTTTATAAAAATAACTGACACAAGTTAAAGTTAGAAAATGATTTTCATTCTCTTTATTCTCTGTAAAGCTAAGCCATTTGGTTTTATCAGCTTCATATTTTCCATTTATTCAATACATATTCTACCACATGAGAATAAATATATTAGTGAACAGCACAAACATGATCTCTGCATGCGGAGGGACACATATATAATTAAAGAGATACGCCTGATAAATAGAGGTAGAGATAAATGCTATGAGATAAGGAGTGAATGGAAAAGGTTGTTGGAGAGAAGGCACTCACAGCAGGTCTCTGCAAGAGCTGATGTTAAGCCGAAACTGAAAAAGGAAATGCTCCAGCAATGAGAAGAATGAAGGGGAGTTTGTTCTGGGCAGAGGAAGCACATGCAAAGACACAGGGGCAGGAACAGCTGAAAAGTTGGGGGGTCTGTATATGGAGGGAGAAGAAGAGAGAATATGGGGACAGATAACAACGAGCTAAATCAGTCACAGGAAGATTCTGCTTGGTACCAAGATCATGGGGAGTTCTGACAGTTTTCATCAGGGATAACATGATCTGACTTAAATTTTAAAAGAGCCCTCAGTCAGGGCCAGCAGGTGGCATGGTGGTTAAGGGCGTTGTACTCCCAGATAGCCGACTGCAGTTAGAGTCCCGGACCAGGCGACTTGCTTTCTCACTTTCTGTCTGTCTCTCTCTCTCTTATGTGCACATGCACTCTGTCCCTCTCTGGTCGAACTATAGCAAAAACCTCTTAAAAAAAAATAATAAAGAGCCCTCAATCAATGTTCAAAGATCAATTAATGTAATAATCTTATTAATAACCTAAAAAAATCACATGATCATGTTAATAAATGTAGAAAAAGCTTTGACAAGCCTAACATCCATTCAAATAAGAGTTCAAAACTAAGAAATGGCCAACTTAATGGTAGGGACAAGTCTGGCGTTGAATATTATATCCCGGAATTCAATCAGGAAGATCGCAGCACAACAGAAGATAGATTAAGTGCATAAGATCGAACTGGTGAAATAGAATCTTAGGACTTTTGACTAAAACATTGCTGAGTTCCTTCTAGGCTTAAGGATTTTTGTCCTGTCTTAAACTGCCAATCGATTCACATACCTACTGTGAATCCTAACCTGTTTTCTGGCTTTAAGCTTTAGACAAAGTTCCTTAGCATTTCTTGGAAGAAATTTCTGTTTTTGAAATTAAAAAATATATTAAAAAAATACCTACTTAATGAGTTTAGTAAGCTATATAGCATCAGCTAGGTGCTACCTCACAGTGTATTCATTCTACTTAGAGTTTTACACCTAAAGTCAGACATGTATTCATAGATAAGTATATACCAGCTGAATTTGCTATTGAAAGTAGTTAGATTATTTAAGAAATTTGTGAATCAATAAAATGTGTGGGGGAAAGAATGGAAGACCACTATGGACACCTATATGTATGTGTGTGTGTGTGTGTGTGTGTGTGTGTATAAAGCAAGACATGGAAAATTATTGACTATAACATGTATGATTAAGCCACTATGCAGTATATTCTGGATAAGAAATCACATTTTGTATACTGTGACAATGCTCAGGGAATGAATGCAAATTAATTAATTAATTTTTTTAAAAATGTCTCAGAAGAAAATTACAGTGCATTTGTAACTAGATTCCAGCTTTGTCCATATTTTTTGCTTAAGGTATTTTGTGAGTCAATAAAATGTGGAAAAAAGTTTAGTATGAAAGGGAGAGAGGGGGAAGGGGAAGGAAAAAACAAGTAAAAGTATGCTTAATTGACAAAAAAAAATGAAAGGCTATTTGCTGATAAGTTATAGAGTAATACCTTTGGCTTGACTGCCATGCATAGTATTTGTGCTGGGAAAAGAAATGCTGTACACTGTAAAGATGTGATTAAATACTATTTTTTATTTGCATTTTGTAAAAAATGTTAACTGATTTTCATTATGACTTCTTCTTTGATTCATTGGTTAGAGGTCAGGGCTTTAATTTTTAAGTATGTGAAGATTTTCCTGAAATTCTTGTTACTAGTTTACATTTAATTCCCCTGGGGTCAGGGAGCTCGCTCTGGGGTTTTGGCCTTTCACTGTGTTGCAGCTGTGTTATGGCCCTGTGTTATGGCGTATGATCTCCTTTGATGATTATCTAACATGTAGCTGAAGAGACTATTTGCCTTCTACTGTCCTAGAGTAGATGTTCATCTTCAATATCTTTATTGATTTTCTATCTGTTCAGGTAAGTGTGCATGCATGCTCCAAATCCTGACAGGATGGGAAACCGGAGGAAAAGGGATTTCAAGCATGATCATTCCCCATTAAAGAGTGCTTTCTTCTTCTTCTCTCTCTCTCTCTCTCTGTTTTTTTCTCTGGCAAGCATATGCACCCTGTGACAATTAAAAATTAAAAAAAGTGAGAAGTAAACTCAGAACTTGAAAAGATGAGACAGAAGCAAGTTATCAAAGCAGAGAGGGCCAGATGAGTCTCAGAAAAATCTGACCACATTTGAAAGTAAATAAAAATTTTTAAAAATTAATGACCACAAGAGGAGGTTAGTTGAAATAACCAGAAATGATTATAAAGAAAGAGAACAGTCTGGGGAGCTGGGAGTATAAAAGCTAAACAGCAGGAAGAGGGGAACATTCATACCTAAAGTGTGGTAAACTGGCTTCTCTGGCCCAGCCAAGGTGGTGCAGGTGGAATGCAATGCTAGAGGCCTGAGGGGAGACCGTGGATCCACATGTAGGGTCAACCTCAAGACACCAGGTATACCCTGATCCTGGGTGGCTGCAGTGCCAGGGGAGGATACAGCACGTAGATCAATCCTATCAGGAGTTCCTCTCTCTTTTTCTTCCTCTGTCTCTCTCAAAACAAAATTAATAAGCTTTTTATTAAAAATATGCTTTAATGATTTGCTTTAAAAAAATAAGAATGATCCCTAACATTCTCTGAGAATATTTGCTTAATCTGCTGTCCGTAATGATTCATGTTCTGCCCTGAAATCTAGTTACAGCTCCCTAATAAAGCCAGGAATGAGGAAGTTTCTTTTCATCATCATAACCCACATTAGATAATACCTGGGATTTCTGCCCAAAGGGAACTTTCCCTGGGGGATTATAAAGGTGGGGAGAGTCATGAACTACATTAACCATGATATAATGGTGAACTAAACTTGAAATGAACATTTTCGTTTCCGGGTATTTTTTAACTGAGACAATTATCACAAAAGAATCAAACCTTTGATTTATCATTTGATCTTCACTGGAATTTATACTTGAACTAACATGGAAACAAATCTTGCTTCGTTGAGTGGCCAGGTCTGAACCCAGAGGCAAGCCTGATAGTTTACTTACTTTTCTGCTCTTCCTTATTTCTTTTTCACTCTCCCCTCTTTTCTTACTCTACCATTTTCTTTCTCTATTTCATTTCGCATGTAACTCATACCTATGCCCTGGGCATTGTTAGACACTGAGAGACGTTTCATTCTTAGTTCTCAAAGCCAAAGGCTTGGTGATGCTGGCAAACTACTAAGCTGCCATTCTCACCATGAATTGTGAAGAACATTCATGAGTTGATTTTATTGTACAGTCTCTTAGCTTTTGCACAGGGAGAGTGCTGTAAGAAGAGAGAGATGAGGCCGAAAAATAAATGTGTAATTGTTACAACCATGGTAATAAGAATTTGTTTCGGTCCAGCAGGTGGCGTGGTGTTCAAGGTGTTGGACTACCACACGGCCTACTGTGGTTTGAGTTCCAGACTTGGCGGCTTGCTTTCTCTCTCTCTCTTTCTCTCTCTTTGTCTCTCTCTGGTGAGTGCATGTGCCCCATAGCAAATTTTTAAAAATAGTAATAATAAAATTAAATAAATAATTCTTTTTTAAAAAGAAAATTTATTTTATTAACTATCACTGAATGCATGTATGCCAAGAATTGTACTGAATATTTCCGATATTTTGACTTTTATATTCATGAATCTTGAAGTAGGAGAATGGAAAGACAGAGATTCAAAGAGTTTCCATAGTTCGCAAAGAATCACAGAATGCAAAGGTCGCGGAGCTCATACTGTTTGACTGCAAAGCCCTGTCCTATCTACTTCAATATCATTTAAACTTACCACCCTAAGTAAAAATAAAAATAAAAAAATAAAAGAGACACAGAAGAAAGACCTGAAATCAAAATGATGATCGCCTCTAGCTCCACTAAAGCCTTCTAGAGAAAAGAGTTTCATATACTTCCTTTCTTCACAGACATGAGAAAAAAACATCAGGCTTTTTGGGGTTAGGATTTATTTTTTAATTACATATAATCACTGTACATCTTTACAGCATACAAAATGGTTTTTCCCAGTGCAGTCAAGTCAAAGATATTATCACATGCATGATCATCAACAGGTAACTTTTCATTTTTGTGTCTATTAAATGCTTTTTTCCCTGATCCCCTTTTTCCCACCCCCTCATTACTCACCCTCTCCTATACTGTCTTTAGTATCTATATCGGCCCTCTCTGCTATTATACCTGCCACTCGCTCAGTTTCTTCCATAGAGTGCAGACATTCAGTATATATTGAGCAGGGATATACAGTGCCTCTTTTTCATAGTCCAGCTTGCTTCACTTAACATTAAATTTTTTATATTTGTCCACTTTGTATCAGATGTCAAGGTCTTATTATTTTTATGGATGTGTAATATTCCATATTTGAGATATCCTTCACAGAAATATAAAAAAAAAATCACAAAATTTGCCTGGAGTCATAAAAAGTCCTATATCACGGGACTAGCAGTTAGCATAATGGCTATATAACTAAACTCCCATATAGTCAACTGCAGTTCGAGTCCCGGGCGTGTGTGTATGTGTGCCCAAGATCCCGAGAGGAGAATGGAGGAGAATGGAGGAGAAGGGATTGCGGCGTGACCATCCCCCCTGGAGGGTGATTTCTCACTTTCGGTCTCTCTGTCTCTCTCTGTCTGGCGAGCGCACATGCCTTATAGTGAAAAAAGAAAAACCTCAAAAAAAAAAAAAAAAAAAAAAAAAAGCCCTGTATCACCAAAGCAATACTATACAAAAACAATAAAGCAGGAGTCATCTCACTTCCTGACCTCAATTATTACAAAGCAGTTATAATCAAAACAGTATAATATGACACAAAAACAGGCAGGTAGACCAATACGACAGAAAAGAGAACCCAAATATAAATCACAAAACATACAGCCAACTGATTTTCAGCAAAGGACACAAGATAATCCAGTAGGGGCAAAAAATCTCTTCAGCAAATGGTACTGAGAATACTATAAAACTACTGCTGAAAAACACAGGGGGAGACTCTTGGAAAAAAAAAATGTGAGTAGCCAAAGATACCTTAAATAAAACCTCCCAAAGTACAGACAATAATCCCCAAAATAGATAAGTGGGACTACATCAGGCTAAAATGTTTCTGCACAGAAAATAAAATAATAATAATAATAATAATTAGAGTGAAAAGACAACCCTAGAATGGGAGAATACATTCATAAACTATGCCTCAAAAAAAGGACTGATAACCAGAATATATAGGGAACACAAGTAGCTTACCCACAAAAATAATAATAATAATAATAATAATAATTAGTCCAATTTAAAGATGGGCAAATCAGCAGAACAGATACTCTCCAAGGAAGATATACAAGTGGCCAAAAAAAACGAAAAATGTTCAGGGATGGGATTTTACAATATTTCCAAAGGATTCTCTTAATATCTTTTTTTTCTTTTTTTTGCTATAGGGCACGTGTGCTTGCCAGAAACGTAAAGAGAGACAGAAAGACAGAATGTGAGAAATCACACACACACACCCCAGGGGGGATGGTCACACCGCAGTCCCTTCTCCTCCATTCTTCTCTCGGGATCTTTGGCATGCATGTACATGTGCCCAGTTTAAGCCACAGTGTCCGCGGCTGACTACATGGGAGTTCAGCTTATAGCCATTACGCTAACTGCTGGTCCCTGTATCATTTTTTTATTTTCTCTGCTTCCAAAAAAAATGTAAGCACCTGCTGTAGTCTGAATGTTGCACACACCCCAACTTCATGTGTTGAAACTTTACTCCAAATATTAGAAGGTGGGGCCTTTGGCAAGTGATTAGGTCATTAGGGTAGAACTCTCATTTATGAGGTTAATGCCCTTATAAAGGGAACCCCAAAGAGCTTTCTCCCACCAGTTACCATGTGAGGATCAGCCAGAAGTTGCAATCTCTAAGGGAAGGGCCCTTATCAGACACCAAATCTGCCAGATCCTTGATGTGGACTTTCCAGATTCCTGAACTGTGAGAAATAAATGCTTGTTTTCTATATGCCACCCAGTTCATGATATTTTGTAGAGCAGCCCAAACAGACCAAGACAAACACTGAATCAAAGGTGTGTAAAACTAGAGTTAGTAGGTAACACAGTGTTAAGATGCTGAATTCCCACATGACCCACTGCTGTTTGAGTCCCGCAGCTGGCAGACTGAAACTGACGCAGGGTACATGTGCATACATGCCCAAGACCCCAATTGGAGAATGGAGGAGAAGGGAGTGCAGCATGGTCATTCCCCAGGAGGTAGTTTCTCGCTTTCTGTCTCTCCATCTCTCTAGTAAGTTGGTGTAGCATGTAACAAAAATCTCTCACAAAAAATTTATAGAAAGAAAACAAAGGTATTTAAATTTATCTATAAACTTTTCATTTTCACCTCGTATCTTAAAGTTGAAAGATAGAGACCATGTATCTTAACATTTGTTTTACATTTAAATATCTTAAATGATTGTTCAGTACCAGGAACTAGAAATTAAATAAACCCAGCTAATTCATACCTGATAAATACAAACTATCATGATCAATTAGCCATTTTCTTCAAATCCTAACTCCACCTAAGAGAAGGTTCCACAGTGTTCAGGTTCCTTTAAGTTTAATCCCCTCACGTATACACTTTTCACATAAAATACTGCTTTTTTCTCTTCTTGTTTTCCTGTGTCAATTGACACCATAGGCAGCAACCACCGGCATAGATCAGCACTAAGAGAAGACAACTTAATGTCCGAGTCGTCCATTTAGGTGGTTGTACAGAGAATAAGGAGGTGGTTTGCAGCTGTTTGCATTTACTCTCAGCTGGGGGAAAGATCCTGCTCAAAGAATAGCACAGTAGGAAAAACCTAATAGGAAGCTAAATAAATACTTGTTTCTAGACCATTTGGCACCAGAATGAAAAGCTGGATAGGCAAGTAACTTTGAAAAGTTTTAACTTATAGGAAACAAACTATTGAGTCATCAAGAAAGTCACGATGCAGTTTTTCATCATGCTTTCTGGATGACCTACTATTGCGTGCAAAAGGCTTTTGCAAATCAGTAATCATTCTGTGAGCCTTGAAACAGCATTTTAAAGATCTCCTCCTAGAAGCTAATCATCAGTTGAAGCCATTATTATGTGAATCTGATTCTATTTTTTAATTTGCTACAGGGCATGTAAACTCACCACAGAGGGGGAAGGGGAGTGAGAAATACTCCCCCCAATGGAGAATGGTCACACCACAGTCCCTTTTCCTCCATTTCTCCCTCTTTTTAGGAGTTTAGACACACATGTACATGCACCCAGAGTGTTTATCAAGTCACTCGTTCTGGGACTTGAACCTCGCGGTTGGCCACGTGGGATCCAGCTGCTTCAAATACCACGCTACAGGTTAGCCTACATGAGTGCTCAAAATTCCTAAAGGAGGGAGAAATGGAAAAGGGATTGTGGTGTGACCATTCCCCATGGGGAGTGTTTTCTCTCTCTCTTCTCCTCCCCTCCCCTCCCTACTTCTCCCCTTCCCTTTCCTCTCTTCCTCTGTCCCCAGTGAGTACATGTGCCCACTAACAAATTTAAAAAAAAATTAAAAAGGCAATTTATATCTTCTAACTGTAAATACTATAGTTTCATGATCTCTGTGGCCTGTTCCAATTATTGATGCTTTATTAAAAGCAAGATACCTGCTTTACACACCAGCTGCCTGGGAATTCGGAAAAGAATATTGTGTCACTCCTACCGAAAATGGTGCTCCTCAGGCTCTGCATAGCTGAAGTTCCTGCACCTTGACCCGGTGTTACAAAGGAGGCTTTGGACAAAGGGGAGAACACCACGGCTGGGCAGATCTCGGGGCTGCAGGTAGCCTGGGTACAGATGCAAGAAGAAATCAATTCACACTGCTACCAGAAATAGAATTCCTATGGGGTTAGACTCATCATTTGTAATACCAAATTACTACATTATTTTCCATGTTATTAACTTAAAGAAACACTGAAGCTTCAGCCCCCAAAAGGCAAAAGGCACAAAAAACCTTTCTACCTGACACCTTTCTCCTGGGTCTATGCTTACAGTCAAGCTTGAATGGCCCTGAGTAGTCACAGCTGCATGGTTGGAGCTCCTCCTCAGCATGGAGGGTCAACACGTCCAATGTGTAAGCCAGCTCCACATGCAGCCGCTGTCAACAGCATGGCAGGAAGAGTGAGGAGGGATGCCCTTCCCAAGTCAGAAACATTTAGCAGCTTTAGTTTGGGCAAAAATTTCAAGTGTAATACACTAGAATTCTAAAATGTTTAGTTGTGGTTGCTAAATCTCCTGCAATGTAAGAAAGTTTTCTACACTAGATAAGATTAAGAAAAAGACTTTTGGGGACAAATAATACTCATATATGGCATGGTGGTTAAGTCACTGGATTCCGGCATGACAGACTGCAGTTCAAGTCCTGGACTTGGCGGTTTGGAAACCACAACAAATAAATAGATAACGAATTTTTTTTTAAAATCTAGGGACCAGCAGTTAGCATAATGGCTATGTTGCTGGACTCCCATGTAGCTGACCGCGGTCTAAGTCCTGGACCCGGTGGCTTAAACTCATACCGGGCGTATGTGTGCACATGCCCAAGATCCCAAGAGGAGAATGGAGGAGAAGGGATTGCAGCATGGCCATCCCCCCTGGGGGGTGATTTCTCGCTTTCTGTCTCTCTGTCTCTCTCTATCTGTCTGGCACACATGCCCGATGGCAAAAACCTCTCAAAAAAAAAATCCATATGCACAGTCTTTGGCTTTATTCTAAAATTCCAAAATCTGTTTTACTTTTCCCTCCCTGCTCAGTATAGGAACAGAGCATCCTTAGGTAGTACACTCAGAGTCAGCCTCAGGGATCAGCAACAGCATCCTGCTGGTGATAAATGTCATGTCCCTCATAGAACTCCTTTGTCCTGTCCCCCTTAAAATACATCAGAAATGGTGGCCACTGCTGTGAAATATTAGTGGGTCAGAAATTCAGGATGTCAGTCCTGAACACACTGCACCTTCAGGATCTGAGTGGCATGGCTGGGACACCCCCAGGACAGTGGGCTGCACGAGAGGGGATGGATATTTGTCAGTCATCTCTGTGCCAGGCCCTGTGCTCTTAATTGAGCTACTCACCAAGTCCTGTGGCAGCCCTGGAAGACAGGGGAAGTTAGCTGCCTACAGAGAAGAGGCTCACAAAGGTGAGGCCCAGGCCACCAGCTACAGAGCTGGTAGGTGGTCAAGTGGCTTCAACAAATGGTCCTGAAATGATTTTGGTTCCTGATCCCACTGAGGCTCTGACAAACCCTGCTCTCCCCTAAAAATGCTTATCTGCATCCACCTCCAAGAAACAGTACTTGTGTTCATTCAGGCTACATCTTTGTTGGGCTGTACTCCTGATGCAAAGCAAGAGCTTGGTAAATGCCTAAGAAATGAATGGAAATTTCTAGGATAAGAAACATCATAAGCTGCTTTTTTCATATGGCTGGTACCACTCTGGCCTGTAGACTGAGTACTCTCTTATTCACAACTGAAGATTGCACAACATATATTAGGGCTGCCAACTCCCAACCAGTTCTTGATGCCAGAGTATCCATGGTCACATGCACATTCTCTCTGCTCTACACGACCCATTTCTCCTACCCAGTGAGCCTGGCTTTCTGCTCCTTCTTTTTCCTCACCTCCCCTCACTCTGCAGGCCATGGCAACTGGCTCCCCCACATCCAACCATCCAACTGAGCTGCCCTGGGCAACAGCACCCACACCACTGAGGCTTGCCCTGGGGGAAACTGCCAGCCTTATCTCACCTATGTGACACCCAGCATTCTTTGCCATGCCTCCTTCTCTAAGTACTTCCCAAATAGAATCTATATGTCCTTTATTTTCCTCTAAGTCTCTGGCTTCCCTTCTGCTTGTTACTCCAATGTATTATTTTTTTCTTTTTCTTTCTTTTTCTTTTTATTCCATCTCACATCCTGGGAGCTTGCCCTTCTCAAATATCCACATCTCCAGTAAGCCCAGGACTCATATATCTGACTAAAGGGGCAGCCCAACAATCTCATGACTCCTCAAATCCAGCAGGACCACCCTGAGCATAGTTCAGTCACACCCCACTCCTCCTGTGGCTCTTCCCTTCTGGGCAGGTGGCTTTTCCACCCTATTAACTCAGTCAGCCAGAACCTTCCAGTCCTCCTGGCTCCTGGTCAGTTGTTCCTTACAAACCTACCTCCTTCATGTCTCTAAATCTGTCCTTTCCCCTCAGGCTTGGAATGACAGCTTTCTCTTCCCCTGTTACTCATGAACTCAACAAATTGATCTCGTTGTTATTCCCCATCACAAATTCAACTCCTAGCAGCATCTAGAATGTGTGCCTCCTAAATACTTCTCTTACTATGACCTTGTTTAAAACCTTTCAATGGCTCCTCAGAACTATGTGAGTTGACATCTTCAGCATCATGCAAAGCCCTTTTTTGATCTGACCCTGCTTACTCCTCCAACCACATCTATTTTTCAGTCATAATGAATTCCTTTCTCTTCCACTGTGTTCTGCCCCGCCTGCACCATCCCTCCCCTGTACTTTGTTATTCTGACAAAGTTGCAGGTGTCCAGTTCTTCAGAAACCTTTCCCTGGAATGGATTGGCCATCCGTCCTACATGCTCACACGGCCTCTATATTGAAACCTATCATGATGTATTTCCATGGCTCTATGATTATCTGGCTCTATGGTAAGTTCTTTAACAGCAGAGAAAATGTATTTCATTCTCAACAGATCTTAGAACACAAAAGGCTGTCAACATGTATTTGCTCAATGAATAAATAAGTTAATAAAACAGGAACCCTGAAAAACTTTCTAGCATTTCGTAAATCAAGTTTTACTAACATTGCTTCACCATTTTCTGCAATACAAAACGGTATCCCAAATAACAAAAATAACCCATTAAGATTTCTTTTTCTACTAAAACTTAAATATAACCAAAAAGCTATATTGAATAAATCAAAGCATTTAACAATATGTTACTCATGCGATCTTTACAGAGTCTACCGTATTACACGTATTTTAAGTGGCATAATCTGAGAGAAATGAAACAGCTCACCGTTATTCAAGGAATGATGCTCTTGAGGTTTCAAACCAGATTTTTTTTAAAAAAAAATGGTCTGTTTGACCATGTTCCTGGAGTAGAGGACATTACCAATGCATCACTGCTATGACAATCATGTCGCCATCGTAGTCATCACAACCATCATCCCCACCATCATCACTATAATCATAATTCCCATCACCACCATCATCACCACCATTACCATCATTATTATCACCATCATCACCAACAACACCATCATCATAATCATCGCTATCTTCACCACCACCATCACTATCAGTATCACATTGGTAAACTGAAATGAACCCTCCATCTTGAAACTCACCCTCTTCTGCTACTCTTCCTATATTTATAACGGCTTATATATTTCTGCCCAAATTGAGTCAACTTAGTTAGCAGAATCTGTCTATCTGCTAGATCAAATAAACGTGTAAATTTCAATCTTAATAGAAAAAATATAGAGAAATTGTTGTTTATTGCCCTTTATGCTAAATATATTGCTCTCATCACAATGGGATCATATCCATTCATTTCTCTCAGAATTAAGAGTTTACAAAAAACAGAGGGAAGAGGGCTATATTTTTTTTTCTTCTGAAGGTTTGTGATCAAAGAGTAGTAAGATGCAACTTACAGCTGTCTCTGTGTCTGGGAGGTTCTTGAAAACGAAGTACTGTCAGAATCATGAACAGAAGACATGGCCAGAAAAATTCAGCAAGAGAAAGAACCTGGGGGAAAAAATAGTTTTTGAATAAATTGCGAAGTATTACAATATATTTATTTCTTAGGGGATTATATAAGATAAGACCAGACTTCCTTACAAAGAAATTCATTGTCATTTTTACTGGGTGTCTCCAGAATAATCATTTGGTGGGAACAATAAGTGGTGTAGTGGTTAAGGCACTGGACTCCCACGTGGCTGACCCCAATTCGAGTTCTGGACCCAAAGGCTTGAAACTTACACCAGGCACGTGTGTGCATGCCAAAAAACCTGAGAGGAGAAGGGTTTGCCATGTGGCCATCCCCTCTTGGGGGGAAAGTGGTTTTCTCACTTTCACTTTCTCTTTATCTGTCTCTCTGGCAAGTGCATACACCCTGTAGCAAAAATCTTTCTAAAAGAGTTAATCATCATTTGAGACAGGAGCCCACAGAGAATTTCTAGTTCTTTTGTCATTGCTTTTGTATCTTTGACTATTCATCTCTCACCAGACCCAGCTAATGTTTTTTCCCTCTTTTTGCACATTTTTATTTATTGAAGAACTTATAGCACTAAGAATTAAAGAAATAAATAACTTCATCCATATCTCACACTTTCCCACTTACCTTCATTTTATGAATATTTATGAATATTTTATGAACATTTTTATGAATATTTTCCAGTATGTGCACATGAAGCTCAAAACTATCCATTTACTGGCGAGAAGACAAGGTTCCACATGGCTACAGTGAACTAGATTTTTAAGGGAATGAAGATTTTCTACTAATAATTCAGCCTCCAACAAACGAGCTAGCAGCAGAAGACAAGGTTCCACATGGCTACAGTGAACTAGATTTTTAAGGGAATGAAGATTTTCTACTAATAATTCAGCCTCCAACAAACGAGCTAGCGGTAGGGAGCCCCCCTCTGCACCCCCAGCCTTCTCTCTCTGTCTCTCAGTTCCTGTCTCTCCCTGCTTCTGTCTTCCCTTTTTTTTTTGGTAATATTTCCTTTTTACCCTTTTTTCTGTTTTTAAAAAAAACAAGGCCCAGTTTTTCTCTGGCTCTTAGCTCCGCCTTCTTTCTTGTTAATTTTCGCTCTGCTCCTCCCATCCAGGCAGAAGACAAGGTTCCACATGGCTACAGTGAACTAGATTTTCTATTTTATGATTTTTTTTTTAAACAAAAAAAGAACCGTAATTACAAATTTTTAATTTTTTAAATTTTTTTGTCTTTTTTTCTCTTTTTGTTGTTTTTCTCTGTCTCATTTTCCTTTTTCTTGTCTCTTCACCCTCCAGTATCCTTTCAGTGTGGTTTTAGACAGATAATAGGGTTAAAATATTCCCCACTATCTACTGAATCTGCTGCACCAGCAAGCACAATAGAACAGCAAAGAGTTTCTGGATCACCTCTGTCTACTTGCTCCTGAACATTAAGGCTGCACTTCAAGAATTTGAAAGAAACACAACATTCATCAGATGACAAGAAATCAC